CGGCGAGGGGATGTCTTCATCCGAGCAGTGGATGGATAAAGGGTTGTGATGATCATTAACACATCATCATCTCTATCATAAATGCCCACTGTAATCCGGCAGCTGTTGAGCCAGAGACCAACATGAGCTCGTGTGATTACAGTGCCAAACAGATGTGTGCGTGATTTTGTGCCAAATGTGTGCTTGGCATTTTTCTTGGCTGCCAAGTAGACAAAAAACAGAAGGAGGCATTGGCCGACGACGGAGGGATACCAAGCAGTAGCTGTGCTCTCATTAAGTGACGTGTGATTATTCGCGTGAACTTCACTCATTGACTCTTACTCCCATGCGATGGACCCAAACCCCCGGTTGACCAAACTTGATCGCGTCGTCTCATCGACACCTCGCACTCTGTCCAGACACTTTTGAACGTTGCAATTCTATTGGGGGATTGTGCGTTGTCCTGCCGTGGTCTGGGACTGTTGTTTTTGTTGATTTTACTGCCTTTCCCAAGCTTTGCATTCTTGTTGAAACATAGGCAGGAATTGGATGCTTTTGCAAATTGTCCGTATATGTTTTATTTATATGTCACTTCGTAACTTATTCTAGATTTGAATTTTCGTGACTGCAAGGATCCATACTCTTTGTTTTTTTTTCGGTAAAGCCACGTAGGTAAAATAAAATAAAATGAAAACAACTCAATTAAGTCACGACCTTTTCGGGCGCAACACAAGCGTTCGTCCTCAGGTGGGACAAACAGCGAAAAAACAATCGCTGAATTATGCCTAAGAGATGGCTGTGACGAGGTATTATATAGCTGCGGGGGGGCAGGGTGAGTGTGGGGGAGGGGGCATGGGCTAGGAGGTGGTCATGGAGTTCAAAGTGAAGCTGTTGGCTCGAAACAATGGGCTGGGGGCGAGCCTAGAGTTCAAACTAAAGCTATTGGAGAGTGAGCTCTGCAAGATCGAAACACTGCACGGCAAAGTCACGTAGAAGGGAAGTAATAAAATAATAAAAATAAAACATAATAAAATAATTCTCACGACGTTTCGGCCACAACGCAAGCAGCCGTCCTCAGGTGAAGACCAGGTCTGTCGGGGAGACAGCGTCTGGTGGTGTTTCATTCAGACGCTGTCTCCCCGACAGACCTGGTCTTCACCTGAGGACGGCTGCTTGCGTTGTGGCCGAAACGTCGTGAGAATTATTTGTTATGTTTTATTTTATTATTTTATTACTTCCCTTCTACGTGACTTTACCGAAAGAACCAAGAAGATGAATCCCTGCAGTCACGAAAGCTTTAAATCGAAACTGCGCGGCAGATCTCCAAGTGATGGGGGTGAGCAGGGTTGAGAGTAAACATATGCGGACTATTCTGGGCCTTGTTTGGGGTCTGTGATCACCAACGGTGTTACACATCTACAGGAGATAATCGATTATCCGGCGCCTATGGAGGGGGCAAGCCCAATTTTCGAAAACGCCGGATAATCACCATCATCATGATTTAGAATAGATTGTTTTTGCACATTCTGGATGACATTATGTTTTTTTTGCGTTTTCAATTTCGTTTAAATGGCACACATCATCATACAAATATACATTAAATAGCCTTTTAAAAGTGACTGTATGTACTGTACGTTCCACTCCAATCTCGAATATTCTGCATGGGGCAATGTGCATATACGTGCGGTATTTTCATTGTTTAAGTTATATGTAGTGCAGGATGTACTATATAATATTTGACGTTGAAATCAAGCGCAGCTATTTTTTTTGTCACGCATACGGTGCCAAAAGCCGGATGGGTACAGCCTTTGGAGCGGTTTTGCCGGTCCGGGAACGCCGGATAATGTTGGAGTACAGAAAATCGCGCATTGCCGGATAATCGATGATCAACTGTATACTCCTTGCATAAAATAAATACGAAAAATTTCACCGCCAATAGCCACAACTGATTTATATTCGCTCCGACGTGTGCATTTCCTCCTACGCCCGCCATTAACATATATACAGCACGAACATTCAAAGCGATTCCGTAAAGGGCATATCTCTCAGATGCTTTGCGTTTAGCAGATGCTGCACAGTTGCGGCAAAAGCCTCTGCGCTCCCATCGCAGAACGCGCCAACGTAGGGTACAGCAGGAACACACACACACACGGGATGCTCGCTCTCTGTCTGTCTTTCCTATAAATCGCTTGTTCTTCTCTATTTTTTTTTACAGAGCGAGAGAGAGATGATTTTACTTTGTTTGAAGAACAATAAATGTCTCGAGTGGCAGGAATCAGTGCGGATTGTATGTCACGTCAAAAAACTTACCCCCCCCCCTCCCCAAAAAATAAATATATTTTTGCTCGTTGAATAATATTTGCACTGCCGCTCAAGGCGGGGAAAGTTAGCGCGGGTCACATGAAACAATGAAGCGTCGCGAGCTCACCCCAGGAGATCTTATTGTGCCTTTTCCGCCTGCGAAATAGAGGATGACATAAAGGGCCTGCGGATCAATCCCTTCAAATACGGCGACAGATCTTATCTTCTTTGCGAAAAAACATTTTCTTTCGAGGAATAATGAGAGAGAGAGAGAGAAAAAAATACCGTGGCAAACGAAGAAAAAAATATTTTTTGGTTTACTTTACAACAACAAAAACCCACCACCCTCTTGCCATTTTATCAATAAGCATTCATTACTTTTTCGCGAGGCAACGCTGGGGATTCGAACGTTACGTACCGGGGGGGGGGGGGGTGGCGACGTTGATCCAAGCGGGGCTTCGTCGTTGGGGGTTTCGAGGCTTGAAACACCCCACGGCAGTCATGGTTCGGACAAATCTCGCAAAATTTGTATCGACCGTAAACGCGCGCCACCGTCTGCTCCACAGCGCGCGTTCAAACACCAAGTTGATGCAATTCGAGAACTTAACAAACAAACAAACCAAAAAAAGATTGGCCACGTGTTTTTGCCGGCGTCACGATACAAATTTGCCGAACCGAACTTGAGGAAATACGAAAGCAAACATCGCCCACCTATGGCTAAACTACCGCAGATCGAACCATGTGCTATAGGATAATTGATAATTGTTTTTTTTACCCTTTTATCTGGCAACAAAACTGACACCTTTTTTTACAAGGAGTCATGTTTGCATAGACCACAATACCTGCAGTCATAATGCAAAAAAAACATAACTCTGATAATATATGCACTGTCTTTGAAGTTGATTGGTCCACACCCGAGACAGCTTTCCTTAGAGCCTAGTCTCACATGGTGTTGGACCATGTGCCCTTGCGTTGCAATACAAGGCACAGTTACAAAATGCACTCATGATTTGATTTGTTCGTCAGTAACTGCGTGCGTTCCATGGGTTTTTGTCTTGGCGTATAATTATGATATTGGCCCAGTCTGACTGCTGATTCTTGTACGGTGTGCGTTGCGCTAAATCGAAAATCTGCAGAATGGATATAACCGCACGCTAGGGTTGGAAAGATTCACCCTTCCACCGCCTCCGCAAACAATCTCCCCGTCCGGACAACACATCGCGACGGCCGTGGGGACTACTCTCACATGATTTTTCGATTTAAAGCTTTCGTGACTGCAGGGATTCATCTTCTTGGTTATTTCGGTAAAGTCACGTAGAAGGGAAGTAATAAAATAATAAAATAAAACATAACAAAATCATTCTCACGACGTTTCGGCCACAACGCAAGCAGTCGTCTTCAGGTGGAGAACAGGTTTGTCGAGAAGGCAGACTCTGCAGACTCTGCCTTCTCGACAGACCTGTTCTCCACCTGAAGACGGCTGCTTGCGTTGTGTTTTATTTTTATTATTTATTACTTCTCTTCTACGTGACTTTACCGAAAAAACCAAGAAGATACTCTCGCATGCCTCACTCAACCTGCGAACCACCGAGAAGACGTTCGCTGAGAAATTACGCCCTCGGACCGTGCGTGCCGTGAGCTGAAGAACCTCCTTTCAATCAGCGGGCTGATGCCTCGTTCGCGAACCCAATGCTCTCAACGCGCCCGATGCCACGGCATCGGAATTAGGGAAACGCGGCGCAGACATTGACACTCGCAACGTTGTCACACGCGAGCACCATTTGAGATTTCAAAGCGTTTTTCCAAACGTTCTTGCATCGCAGTTATTTGGCGCTGTTACACAACCCCCCCGCCCCGACATTTCACCACCCGTCTCTAATACGCCTGGCGTCGTTCTCGTAGTCCCGTTAACGTGGAATCGCCCGTATGTTCGCAAGCTTCCAGAGGGCTTGAAACACATGGCGCGCCAGGGGTGTTCGGTGTGACGGCACGCGCCTCCTCCTCCTTGTGATTGTAGCGGCCACGTGACTTCGGAGATTTACCCGCCGCGCATCGAACACAGCAAGCGGCGCGCACAAAGGCAAAGATCACCCGGGTAGCCTACACAAGACTGCTGGCGCACGTGCTGTCAGGCAACACATATAGAACTATTGAAAAATAAATCGTTTTATTTGACCGGTTAAGGCCCACTGAGGCGTAGTTCTTTTTCAGATGCGACCTGGCCACAAATGATAGCTCAGCTAAGTGGCTTATCACGTGGAAATGTCGAGCAATCGAATACTCTTAAACGCGTGATGTCGATTCTGAATGTGGAGGGATAAAAACCGGGGCACGTGTCCACGGGGAGAGAGAAACGCTTAATCAGGCGTCAGCACCGTGCTCGAACCCACGACCTCCTTCATACCAGTCGAGGTCGTTTTTTTAAGTGTAAAACTTTGACAAGAACGCGGTGCAAGTCACAAACCGTAACAAAGTTGTGGTGGTGGAGGGGGGGGGAGAGTACAGAAATGTCACAGAACAAAGACGGAACTCAGTGCTCCTGGGTTCTGGGAAGGGGGGGGTTGGCCTCTCTGCCCCACTCACGCAGGGACCGTGAGTGAGAGCGTAGTTGTTTTTTCTTTAACATGGGGAAGGGAAGGCCAAGGGAGAGGAGCGAAAATGAAGGGAACAAAAGTGTGGCGGGGGTAGAAAGGGATCAGGCGAGGTAGTTCACGTCTCACCTGAGCTGGGCTGACACTCTTCAAGGTCCTCGTCGTCAGAGGGACACTCGGCTGAAGAGACCACCACGTCGTCTGTGATCTGGGATTGTGGGAGGTGACAAAGAGACAGTGGCCATGAGCGGATGAGTCAAAGCGAAGTGTTCACGCGTGAATTATTGTGTGCGCTGCGCAGACGAAATTACGACGAGGCCTTTTATACGTAGGATGTCGCAGCTACGCTAGACGGCACTCCGGCGTGTTGTCCGACGTTCCGCTCCAGGTTCCGGAAGCTTCTTCAGGAAATACATTCAGGAAAGCCTCGCTGAATTTTAAGCACCACCTTTTTTGTAGGAGTGGAATTATGAATGTATGTCTCGTAGGAAGAAAGCAAATTATCCGGAGAAAGCCAGCGCATATGAGGGAGTAACACCTAAAGCCACGCACGGATACGTTGAAGAATTCCATTACTGTGCTTCCATCTGCTTGCCACATTAGCGGGGGGGGGGGGGGGGGCTCATGGGAGGTGAGGAGATAGCCACGTGGAGTCATTGGCAGGACCGAGCCGCGACGTTTCACGAACAACGGCGCGGCGTTATGACCGCGCGGTGGCTCTCCAAGGGTGCGTTTCTGCCCGTCTCGTGCCCCACGTTGCTCGGGCACAACGCCCGAGGATTCCCCTCCGCTGCGTGTTGGGCACCTTCCTTCAGGAGCCGAGGAATGCTCGGCGCGAAACGTCGGGCGCGGTGCTGGACAACACGAGGCACGGACCGAGAATCGGGTTTTTTTTTGCTCTTCCTCCCCCCCCCCCCAACATAGTTGGTGATCCAGCTTTGGGGTAAGAGTGGTTGGAGGGTTTTAAATCCTTTATATTAAGTTCACTTGCTTGCTTGCTTGCGCGCTTACGACCGTGCAAATCTTTCGGTCGTTTTTAACCCACTTCCCGTGATACAATCGAGCTGACATTTTGCACACAGACTCGTTGTGCGTGACAATTTATTTTCGTGAAAAAAAATTCCAAAATTTTCCACTTTTTAGGAATTTTAAAAAAATATTTAATTTAAAATACCAATGTGATAAAAATGAAACTCTTAATCAAGAAAAACAGAAATGAATAATAAAATAAAACCGATGCCACGCATATAAAGGATCTATAGTGAAAACTTTGTTTTACGGGTTAATTTTTTTTTAGTGGGTAATGAGTTGGAAACGTTCTTTGAGATTATTGAGATTATTGGTGGTTTAATGTCCGAATGATGGTGCCACTTTTGTGAGCTATCATTTGTGGTCGCTTCTGAAAAATAAGTTGATACCTCAGTGGGCTTTGCCTGGCAGGATGGGGATGGTTTAGTTGTATCTATATGTGTGTTTGGATGGTTTGTTTACCTTTCCTGTACTTTGCATCACTATCGTGTTTTTTCTTGTTTGTTCTGTGACGTTCTTACCCCGTGCCCCTACTGGACATCTCTAAAAAAAGAGCATTATAGCTCATCTGATTCCTGCAGTATAAATGCATATTCTGATTCTGGGTTATGATCTCGCCTTGCCTCCTGTGTCTCCAGCAGCAAGCACAGCAGCAGCAGCAGCAAGCGTAGCTTCCGATTGCCTGTTGCATGCCCACAGGAGGCATCCGGACTCATTTATTAGAAAAAAAAATTAACCGGGAAATAAAAACAAATCTCTCGCGTGGCTGCCCCTTTTAATTGCGTGGATGTGGTGGGGCAATCGCGCATCTTCGTGGTTGATTTGCGAGTTTCAATAAAAAATCCTCTTACAACCTACAGCGCACACACGCACTCGATCTAAACACACACACACACACAATCGCCGTTGGTGCACACCAACTTCAATTTTTTACAACAAATGAAGATACAACTAGCCTCTTCAATTATATCCGATTTGCACTGCTGGAGATCACCTAGAACGACGCAAGGCTTTGTTGCAAGCCCCAACGCACTTCAACACACGCCACTTTGCTAATCCACTGCACTCAAAGCCAGACTTAAGACTTTCTCTCCAACGTCTAGTACTGTCGGAGTGGTTTCGCTGTGTTCTTTCTCAAGCAATTCGCGTTTTATTCCTGGCTGAATTGTGCGAAATAGTTTTTAATTGCATCTTACCGGGTTTCCATTGAACGATTTAGTTCAAAGAGTGCTGCTTTACACAATATATATTTGTGGGTGAAATCAACAGGCTTGATAACGCCCTTCCGACTATCGCATCATTGCACGATCGTGATAAAAACAAACTGTTGAAGCTTTTACGAACAAATTAGGACAGCGAATGAGAGAAAGACACACGGTTAAAATATACCCATTATGGACTCCGTTCAATCGCCGCTAACTCGACATCAGCAGGCTACTGTAAACAAAAATAACAACACAAATCAAAGAACACGACTCGTTCGATGGAATCAACAGCAGGCGAGGAGGCGAATCCGCACGCTGCTACGAACATGACGCACAAAGCGAACAGAGCATGTGATGGATTCCATCCAATCACAGGCAACTCTTAAATCAGACAGAGCACGTGACTAATGTCATCCAATCACATGCAGAGCTTATCAGCACGCTGCTGCGAACAACAATGGCGTAACATCGCAGTACACCGATGCAGGCGTGGCAGTTAGAACAAATATTGGGGTTTGGAAGATCGAATATGAATTACACTTACTCCCCTTGGACAAATCAAAATATGTTAATTCAAATGAACTTCACGGTAACCCCCCGTTGTCTGAGAGTCATTGGTGACCATGCTGAGACCATCGAACCGCCACTGCAATTCCGCCTTTTAGAAATATAAAAAGTCACACAACCGCCCAGATATCCGATGATTTGTTACGAATTCTGGACCGTGACCGGATGTGTAAACGAGATTTAAGACTTTTTTTATGACGTCTCGTGGTTTTCCCATCTCTCGTCCCCTGTAAGTTTCGTTCGCTCCATGAAACCTTGCGCACGGTCAACAACACAACAACTTCCCTTCCACGAGAGTGCAGAACCACCACCAACACCGGATTAGGATGCTCGCGCACGCAATCCAAAGTTGCGCAACGTCAACACTGGAATGGATTTTAGTCGGCGATTCGACGCGTCGTTTCCATGCGTACTTGTCGGACATGGGATTCCGTGATAAAAACAAAATTACAATTTGTACAGCGGTGGCCAGCAATTGCGGGCTCCAATTACAGTCACAATTGTTGCGACGCCGCAGAAAGAATCGTGAGAGATGGCAGCGGCGTGGAGGGGCCTTCATCCAGCAGTGGATTGACCACGGCTGATGACGACGATGACGGTGACTGCAATTTATACAAATGCAACTATTACGAGTGTAATTAACCCCCAAGTCTGCAAACTACAACACAACCTGGTTTAATCAAGGACATCTGCGTGGATTCCATCCTGACTTTCAGTGGTTGCTGGCTCATTGCTCCGAATCCAGTAAGGCGAACCTCCTGAGAGAGCAACAGAGAGTGGGACAGAGCGAGTGACCGAGCGAGACAGAGCAAGAGCCAGAGAGAGAGAGTGAGTGAGTGTGAGAGTGAGAAAAGTGAGCAAGAGAGAAAGTGAGTCAGAGAGCGAGCAAGAAAGCTGGAGATAACAGAGAGAGAGAGAAAGGGACAAATAGCAAGCGTGAGAACAAACTCGAGAGAGAGAGAGGTAGTGAGAGAAAGAGCGAGCGAGAGATAGGCAAGCAGAAACCTGAACTTGAACTCAAAATCCAGGTTGACAGCTCATTGCTCTCACACCTGCACCCTGGACCTCACCGAGCAACCCACTCAGATTCTCCACTACGAGCTGCAATTCAGTTGCCGTGTTCACAGCGCCAGGCCCTCACCGCTGAACTCCCTTGGTGTGTGCGTGGTGTGCGTGTGTGCGTGTGTGTGCGTGTGTGTGCGTGTGTGTGCGTGTGTGTGTGTGCGTGCCGTGGGGAGCGGTAGCTTGGCGGAACCCCGGTCACCCGAGTTCGATTCCCGCTCAATGGCCAACATCGGTGACGAATATCTGAGTACCTGGGTGTAAACTCGCCACTGGAGAGACAACGGCGGCGGGTGTGATGTGCCGTGCTGGCCTTGCCCAACAGTCTGTTAAGGCTATACGGGGGATCTTTGTCTTTGTTTAAACGCGCGTGAGTGTGTGTGCTGGAGCGAGTGCTTTCTCTTGCAATTGTGATTGCAGTCTGTGTGTATGTGCACGGCAGTGGCCGGGAGGGTCCAGGTCTAACAGTCCAGAGATCAATGGGTGCACCAGGTCGTGGAAATTAATAGTTTCTTGTCCTCCGTGTTGTTATATATATATTTTGGGTCTGAAACCCTCACCCCGAAGGTTATTTTTTTTTATTACTTTCAAGGTCTTGAGCAGACGTGTGATCGATCGTGGGCTTAAAAAACTCGGGAACGGTTAGCCATTCGAAAAAGAATGTCATCCCCGGTGCGAGGAAGACGGCGAGCGGATTTTTGGTTGAACAGGAACTCTGAACGGTTGGGTCCTGTTCCAGAAAAGGTCTCTGCAATGCGCTGTGAAATCACATCCCCCACGACCCGCACGGCGTGGGGAGGCCTTCATCTAGCAGTTGATTGACAAAAGGGCTGGACGTGTACACTTATTAGTATTGTTATACATGTGTTTATTTTAATGTACTGTACCTCCGATTAGCATGGTTGGCTTTGTACGGCGCGAAAAAAGTTCAACATTTATTATTTTATTTGGATACGCACCAAATTTCGGATAAATCCGAATGAAAAGGGTCTGAAAATTAGGGCCTAGAAATAAAATTTTGGATTATCCGGAGCGAATGTTTTTTTTGGATTTATACGAAAACGTGGCATCGCTTGATTTTGTCACGCGCCTCCTTCCCTGACCTTCGTTGGCACGTAGACTATGCTGCATTAGCACATCAAAATAAATCGAACAATCCGAAAAAAGTTTCCAAATTGCCTTTTAAAATTTCATAACCCCCCCCCCCCCGCGAAAGCCATCCCTGTCATCATCGCGAGCCACGGTCAATCCACCGCCGTTGCCCGATAAATCAACGGTAGCTTCCCGGAGAATCGCAGACGTGGCGCGTGCGTGTGTACGTACCGCGGGTGCTCGTGAAACCGCA